ACTGCTTACCTCGTCGTCTGACTCCTCCTCCTCGTCGCGGTCATCGCTGAGCTCGTCCTCATCCTCATCATCCTCGTCTTCAAACTCGCCCTCGTCGAAGTCCTCAATGTTCTCGTACTGAAGGGCCTCGCCGGTGAACCAGTCAATGGCGCGGGGGATGAGCTTTTCCTTGATGTCCTCACCGAGCTGGTAGTCGAGTTCGAGACGCTCCTCGATATCGGAGGTGGCGTCGTCGTCGTCTTGTGGGGGCTTGGGTGGGTCGAAGAAGTTGAAGAACGACTCTGTAGGCACGGTCTTCTTAACGACGCGGGTCTGCTTGGTGTCTGAGAAAGTTAGTTGGTGGTCAAATACCGACAGATGTCAAGATGCTCACTCTTGTTCCTCTGCTTCTTGCTCTCGATGCGGACGGTCAGGTCCTTGCCGGCCTTCCAGTCGACCTTGTCACCCTCGGCGTGGTCGTAGATGAAGTCGCCGCCGTAGCCGTTCTCCTCCTGGTAGAAGTAGGTCTTGGTGATGGTCTTGTTGGTGAAGAACTCGTTCTCCTCGAATTCGAAGATAAGGCGGAAACCGGGGCGGTCGAGGTACTCCATGCGGATGTCGGTCAGGTGCTTGAGAGCAGCCTCGTCGCGGTCTGTGATCATCTCGGCGAGCGAGATCTGGTTCTTCATGGCGCTGAGCCAGAACTCTGGGATACCCTTGACGTCCTTGCCCTCGTCCTTGTTGAGCTCAGCCTCGGGCTGGTCCTCATCCTCGTCGTCCTCGTCTACCTGCTCGCCGACCTTGACGCGGTCTTCTGAGGGCTCCTCGGCGCCGTTGACGATCTTGGCACGGGTCTGGTATAGCGGTGTGAACTTGGCGAAGTACTTCTTCTCGAGCTGCAGGACCTCCTCTTGGAACTCGGCCTCGAGCTTGGAGTGCTCCTTCTGGACACCCTTGAGGCCGGCAACACGGCGGCGGACCGAGGCAGGCAGCGACTCAATGTAGCCGCTGGAGCGGCCGACGAGCGAGCCGAGCTTGTTCTGCATCATGGCGACGAGGGCGGGGTTGGCGGCGAAGAGACCGGCGGCAGTGCGCTCTAGTTCCTCTGCGGAAAAGCGAGTTAGCGGTCAAGGCCTTGACGAGAATACAAGGCGGGGTTGGAGGGGCAGGAGCGTGGCAGAGTGCGACGTACCTTCCTTGATGCTGCTGACGCCGGGCTGCTGGGCGCGCGACGATATGGGCGCGGCATTGGCGGGTGTGTTCTGGGGGGTGCTGGCAGGGCGCACGTTAGAATGGGGTACGTCCATGTTGGGGGTGTGTGGTGGTGGTGTTTGGGCGAGGCCAAAATTGTGTGGCGGAGGGGAGGGAAGCGACTTACGGGGCGGAGATGGAGTCCATCTTCTTATTGCGGATCGGCTCAGACATCTTGGCAAATGAGTGATGTCGGACTGCGAGTGGCGAGTTGGGGTGCAAAAGGTGGATGTTGTGGGTGAGCCGCAGAATTGTTCGGCGGGCTGAGCGAGAAGAACAGGCGCTGGGCAAGGCAAGGTCGCCCCTCTACGGCACTAGTCACGCCTAGTGCGAATTCCAACCGGACACTGCGAGACGGCAACAAACAAGGCCTCTGCGACCACACAGGACTATCGACGCTGCCGTGGACGGGGAGAGATGCAGTGCGCGAGGGAGAGGCGGGCGGCGTGTCTATTTGTACCTTGACCGTCTTTTGGGCAGAGGCGTGGCACGTGTGCCCTGCCTTGCATCTCTCCGACACTGTAGACGGGCGATTCAAGTTTATCTGGCGGCGATACCTCACTTGCTTGTGCGCGCAGTAGTCTACCACGTCGACTGCCCTGCACCGTGGCCACGGCCGACCTTGCCCGCCGGTACTGGGAGAGGGGACATGGGGACATGGGGACATGGGGAGCGCATATTTTTCATTGCATTGGTTGACGAGCCTTTTCCTCCGACTTGCCCAAAGCCGGCCGGAAAATGCCCCGATTGAACTATTGCGCACACCGTACTTACACTGAGGTGCTGTATACCGCCACGGCCGCCCTGGAGCGAATACGATCTCTACACACGTCCGATCAGCGTCAGCTTCGATTAGTAGCCACACCTGCCTTCTAGAACAAAGCGGGTCTCTGGAAAATCCTTAGCAAACCCTTAGCAAAATCTCTCTGGCTCCATCGCGCTTGCCTAAACTCAAAAGCGGAAAGCGCCCCTGGGCAACCACGGAAGGCAGCATGTTGGGGGTGGATGTCACCAAGAGTCATGTTCTCTACTGGCGACTAGCGGCCTGTGCAAGCACACTATTTCCGGCAGTTGCAATCGTGAAGCAAGAACTGAACCTTTTGACATGGACATGGCAATGATGCTTCTACAGTCTTCCCTGTATCCTCCCCAACCTCCTCGTAGCCACAACGGCCATACACGCCGAACAAGCCCCAATGAACAGACAAACCGCAATCGCATTCGGGCCATCCGTCTTGTGGTGTTCCTCTGGCGGCGCCTCGCTCAACTCCGGGCTTTTCCCGGGCTCCAGGATGGAAAACACTACCCACGATATCCCTGTGCCCATGAACTGAGGCAGCGTGGTATACAGGTTCATGATGCCGAGGTATTGCCCTGAGCTTGCTCCGCCGCTGGAGGAAGGCGCGCTGCCCTTTTCGAGGTTGGATTGCGCTTCGGGAAGGTCGATAGAGGTGCGCTTTGGGTGGGCGGAGTGCGAGGAGGAAGTGTTGAGGCGGTTGATTTCTACGCCGAGGAAGGCGAAGGGGGCCCAGCAGGCGACGGACCATGATCTGTGTTGTCAGCTTGGGTTCAATGAGTGATGTGGTGATGGTGGTTACTCACACGCCACAGCAAGCAATGATGATGGTTGCGTGCCTCAAACTTCTCACAAAAGGTGCCATGACCATGCTTCCTGCAAAGATACAATGCGCAGTTGTCCACGCGGTAAGCAGGCTTGGTTTGTATTTCGCCAGTCCCGTCAACTGCTTAGGTGGGCGAGAGAAGCCAGGACCTTTTTCGTCTTCTTCTGGGCTCTGCACGAAGAAAGGCAGGAGAACAGACATTACAAATGTAATGATGGAAAAGGCGATGGGGGCCATGGAACCAATGCGGCCGACTTTGCCTGTGAGGTCACCCGCAGCTTTGACTTCTGCTGGGGCGTCGTATCGTAGGTATACTTCACCAACCCACGTGGTGCTGTAGAAGAGGAAAGGAAACCAGCCTAGCCACTGTCAGTTCTTGATCACAGAAACAATATAATAATGACATACCAATCCAAGCCCAGAACTGGACTGTGCAGATAGCCTGGATACTTCTAGGCAGATTCAAAGCAGTGTGCACGATAGTACCGAGAACTTGCTTGAGATCCAGCTCCTTGCCCTCCTCCGCCCCATCATTAATGAGCACTCTCTCGGTGACAGCCCAACTCGTTGTTCCAATCGCCAAGCAGAGCGTCAACGCCGCAACACCCGTCAACTGCTTGAACTGTGTATCTCCCAACATAGGTCCAAACACATTCTTCAGATCAATCGCTCCCGCCCCGTACCCAATCAGACTCCCGACCGCCACCATCCTACTCGCCCAACTACTGCCCATTTGCTGTTTCGCAATCGGTAACGTATCGACGACCAGGCCTCTGCAACTACCCTGCACAGCATTGATAGCGAAATCAATACCGTATATACTAAACACCGCCACGTATATCGTTGCGCTCTTAGCCGCAGCCTCGTCTTTGATAAAGTATCGAACCACCTCTTTCGTCCAGCCCAGCAGCAGCAAGAACATGGCTACTAGTATCGTACCAAAGAACATGAACGGTCTCCGGCGGCCCCAGCGAGAGGTAGACCGATCCGCGACGACACCGACGATAGGCTGCATTATGAGACCTGAAAGCGGGCCGGCGACCCATACGAGGGATATCTTCGATTTCGTAAGCCCGAGTTCGAGGAGGTAGGGTGTGCAGTATGTCATTTCGACATTCCACGTGAACCTGCATGGTGTTTAGTACAGGGCGCAGGAAGAACTCGTGGGAAGCGGAGATTTACTGCAAGCCGATGAGCGAGGCTGTGAGCAACGCCATGCGTATGCTTTCAGTCGAGCCCTTGACTGAGGGTGTGCCCTGCCATTGCGCAACAGACGGCATCTTCCCCTAGGACTGTCCTCGTCCTTGCACCGTGGCAGCAACGTGGGCGCAGTCGCGTGCGCTTCTCTCGGGGGTCTTCGCGTAGTTAGGGAAACGTGGAAGGGCGCATTGGGTAGCCGAATTGTGTGGTAGGATTTCGTATTACGTTCGCGTTATGCAGGGACTCGGTCGGGCCAGGTATCGATTAGAGAAACGCGCTTAATGCATCCACGTATGAGATGACAAGAAGGTGGGAAAAGCAATAAGAGAAGTTCCAAGGGAGTGAATGGAAGTTGGTATTTGTCTCGTGTCTAGGAGTCTAGTCTGAAGAGGGGAGGGCAAGACGTGCAAAGGAGGAGAGACGTCGTCAGCTCCATGGCTTGGCCGTGTCGCTTGTCGAGATGATTACGGATGTCGGGATCGTGGAAAGGGCCAAACGGCGGCTGGATGGAGCTAGACCGTTAGACCGAGCGGGCCGTGTGGCGCACCCCCGAACATCTGGTTCGGCGCAGTTAGGACCGACCGATGGTCGTGGAGCTGTTGCTCGAACTTCGCATGTTGGCATCTTCATGTACGTTTGCTCGCTGTAACTGTGTCTTCATTCAGTGTATCCGGCATGTGCGTCAGAATGATGATTACTGGGAGCAGGCTCCTTCCAAGCTAGCTCCTCTCACGGCGCAACAATATTCAAGGTTTCGCAACATACTGATTGACTTTTCTATGACATGCATTGCAAGAAATCAAGAAACAAACTCGTAACCTAAAGGAAATCTCGAACAAAAGGAAACAAAGAAAACCACCGCCTCCTAAAGACTCCAATTCAAGACCAAAACACACATGGAAACCCCGCCTGCTCACTCTTCGAAGAGTATCTTGCATCTTCCATCCCCTAGTTGTTGTCCCAAATGTTCAGGCTCGAAATGTCTGGCGTTGAGCCGTCTGCGGTACTACTACTGGTCATACTCCAGCCCATTGGGTATTTTGCGTTAGGCTCTCGGAGCTGTCTGACAATGACTGGCGACTTATCCCTATCACGCACCGCGATCACTGCCCGCACGATTTCGTACTTCGTCGCAAAGTATTCGTCCATGGTCCACTGGAAGTTCTCGGACAGGTCACTAACGCGGTGCGCGATTTTTACACCTGCACGTTGCTGCGGTTGCGAGCTCATTCCAAGCTCGTGCTGGAAGTAGCCCCACCCACTGGTATCTGACTGCTCGATGATGTAGGTGTCGTTCGTATCTTCGATCATGGGTTCGAAGTCCTGTAGCAGCCAGACAGAACCAGGCTTGCCATCTTCGTCTATAACAACGACCATGACCCAGTCCGTCTCTTTCCAGGGTAGTTTGCCATCGTCAGACCGGTGCTTCGCGGCGACTGCTTGCACCTGCCCAATTTGAAGGCATACGAATCCAGTGAGATCGTTGCCTCGTACCACACTTTCGATACTGGAGTCACTGAAGGAAGACTCATCTGAACCATCCGAGCCCTGCCGCCTGAACCGGTGCTCCTTTTTTAGATCCGTGAACTTGATTCTGTTTCCAGATGGTATGTTGATTCCAATGACTCCCTCCCTGGCGAACTTGCGTGGGTCGTCATAGAAGACGATCGCATCGTCAGGTTCCATTACTGCCAAGCATGGACTCACAGCGTAACGGTAATCCTCGTGAGTCCCAATAGGGATAGACGGGTAGGAGTATGCGCTCTGTCGTTGACGCAGCTTTTTGAATGATGCGTCGTCCGCGTAATTGGTTTCGGAGAGAGCGCGGATGTAGTCCTCAGCCGTTTTAGGTGCCATCCGAATTTTCTCATCCTCTTTGTGTACCCATAACCAAAACTGCTCTTGCTTCACAGCGTCCTGCAGGGCGTCTTCTAGAAGGTCGCCTTCATCGGTAAACTTGTCGTCAGGATGTACTGGTTCCTTATCAACGGGCGCCTTGCCTTTGTCACCGGTATTGTTCTTAGGGTCGGTAGAGGCGGTGGTGTCCATTTCCTTCCATCGGAGCTTCTCTCTCTTCGCGAACATCCTCTCTCGGATGGCCTGAAAATCCTTCGCGTCGCTGGGATCCCAAGTCTCTGGGTACTTGAAATCCTTGCTCTGGTACTGTTTGGCGATCTTCTTCGCAATCTTCTTGCTCTTCTGCTTCTGAGCTTGATCCGGGGTTGCCATGGTGAGCGGTACAGTTCGAGGAGTAGGTACAGCTGCGGTTGTGTTGATAGTTCTTCCGAAGCGAGAAATTCAAGGTGAGGGAACAAAGTTGTGTGGGTGAGTAGACAGGGTTCGTGTGCGCTCTTAATATATACATGGATGACGTAATATCATTCACTATCACGTGCCGATTGTAAGCCTTGGCTCCGATGTATCGCAACCATGGTTCGCAGGCAAAATTAAGATTCTCAGCCAGAGATAAGTACAGTCATGTGCTTTCGGTGCCTAGAGGAGGGAATGTAGGATGGAACTTTGCACTTCTGTGCTCGGTTATTCTTTACACCGTTCACTACATAATATACAAGCTTGGGCTGTGAAGTAGAGTACACAACGTAACACAGAGACAGTTATGAGAGTATTACGGACTAACTGCAGTTCGCGCTGCAAGTTATGAGCTAGATTACAATATCCGCGCCTTGTGACAATGAATCGCCTTCCGATGCATCTTCTACTAGAATGCCATGGTACTCTTCTTCTTCTTCAAAAGCTTATGTGGTAAGCCTTTTGCTTTTCCCTTCTGCTGGGTAGAGCTGGCCATCTGTTGCTGATCAAACTGACGGCATTGAACTGCTGTCAGTCCCTCAGCGCACTGGTGGTACCACGAACACCTCCTTCCCCAGTTGTATTCGCCCAGATGTTCCAGGGCAGCTTCGTTGTTCGCTGACATGTGGTCGCTCAGTACACTGTACTGGTAGTTACACTGACAACGGTAGCAGCAGAAAGTCGGTTCGAGCGTCTTGCTGATTGCCAGGCCGCGGCAGCTGACTTGAGCGACGTGAGCTTTGTGGTTGTCATCTTTAGTCAGTTCAAGCAAGACCTGTTGTCGAACAGATACGATTTCTGCTCCAGGATGGTCGTTTAGCAGCTCTGTCTCGCGGTCAAATTGGGCGTCGTTGGCTGCTTTCACTTTTGCAACCCAATCTTTTCCGAGCCCTTGCTCCCTGATGGATTTGTACACGTCATGTGCCCAGGGCCACTTCATTGTTTTGTTGGAACCGATTAGCGGCGTGGTGCCTCCGACTATCCATTTTGTGGTCGGCTTCAGTCCCGCCTTCGGTGCGTATGCGTGTTGACATATGAAAAACATAGCGGGTTCAGCGGCGCTGGGAGCGTCAAGCTTTTGAGTGAATTCGTTGATCCAGAGACGGGTGTCTCCAAACCGGCCTAGGTGTATGTCGAGAGCTTTCTTTACGTCCGCCTCTGACTTCCAGGCTGCCATTCGCTTTTCGGTTTGTGTGTTTGGGGGGCTCTTGAAGATGACTGGAAGGGCAAGCTCTATGAGCAGCTCCTGGTTCGATCGCGTCGGGATAGCTCTCCGCTTGCTCATGTCCTTCATAGTATCTAAAGCCCAGTCTGCAGGGGCGCTCTCCTCGCTCTCCTCGCTCTTCTTGATCTTCTCGATCTTCTCGATGAATCGATGGTGGCGGCTGACCTCCATATAGGCGGCATCATAGATCCGAAGCGTAGATCTGATTGCGTCACGCCAGGTGAATGCTTGTTCGTCTCCAGTGGCTTTCAAGTAGTCGACATGCTCACCCTGGTTTTCCATTATGGCCTCTTGCCGATCTAGACTGTACGCCTCGCTCTTGAAGAACGACTCTTCCGCATCCTTGTTCTTCTGCTCTTTATCTTCGGCTGACGGTGAAGGATCCGCGCGAGAGTGGGGTGCGGTGGGGGATGCGATGGGGGATTCGACTCCTCTGACCTTTCGAGGCAGCATCCAGTTCTCATCTTGGAACTCCTGTACCGAAATTAGCTTTTGACTGCGCTCAGGTGCTACATAATAGCGATTCAGAACTTATTGGCAACATACCTCTTCAAGAACCTCAGACCATTTCTCTTGGATATTCTCACGGATCGCCATCAGTGGCTCGTGACAAATCATTTCCAACTGCAGGAGGTTCGACTCCAAGAACTGTAGCGCAACCGGAGTCTGCTTCTTCGGCCAGAATTGTGGCTTCATCTGTGATGCGGTCCACCGAATCTGATCGGCTATGGCAGCGATCGCTCGGATGGTCTTCATGTGGCGGACGATCGTTGTTTCCTTTGAAGAATTGATATCTATTTCAAAGTTCGGCCAGTTCTTTTCGGCGTATGCTCTTGGTTCTGGGTATGGCGATGCGCGAGGTAGATTCTTCTTTAGCCGGTCAGGTGTCCATGGCTTAGCTGAAGACATCTTGGAAGTTCAAGCACCGACAGATGTAAAGAGAATGGTGTTGAAGCTGAGGAAGATTGGTCGGTGCGAAAATTTTCAGGTGTTTGCTCAAATTCACTGTTCACTGCTCGATGATTCTCGAATACCCCCTACGTTCCCGCAAAGATGCAAGACAACAGCGCGGAGGTCTTCACCAAGATCCTGCTTATCAAGCCGTCTCCGAATCTGTCTACGTATCCCTCAAACGTACCCACGTTCCTCCGTATCTTGCATGATTTCCCGCATCGAAGGAGGCTACACGAAGGACGTTGTCATACGGAGGTTTTAGCAGCGAATTGTAGAAGTAACCGTCCAGCAGCTCTACTGCTGCATACTGTGAAACAAGGGCGTTTAGGAAATACACCTGCATTGCGATCATGTACTGTGTTACTCAACTGCGTTGTGCCTGCATTTCGGCACCACGCCAACCTAGGAAAAAACTGAACACCCTGGAGTCTACGTTGCTGTTGGATCACCTACTTGGTAGAGTTTTGTCTTAATGTAGTCCTCAGGCCTGTTCAGGTTTTTCCTTGTATGAGGTGGCACCAGCACGTTCAACAAAGCAACTCATCAGCAGCTCAATCACTGTATGCCTGAAAGTGTTGAAGTCGGTCCTCTCAATCACCTCAGCGCATCAACACCGCACACACAAGCCACACATAACACACGCGTCCAATAAAGTTAAAAAAGATATATCATTCGCGCAAAAGAACCCCAGCATTAAATACCCAACATCATCATGCGTCATACGCGCCCACTGAATCCTCCCCACGAATAGTAAGTAAGTAGTAATTCCGAAGCAACACACCCCCCCTTTCCATCCCTCCCAGAAGTTCCAGCAACTAGACCAGAAGACAGAAAGAAGAAGACACAGCTTTGCTCCTAACAACTTTACAAACACTGGGAGTTCCCCATCATCATCATCATCTGCGGCGCTTACTTCCCTCCCGTTGTCGTCTTTCTCGTGCGCGCGTGTCGTTTCATGTGTCTAATACCAAATTTTCGCTCGCTGTGCTGACAAAAGATGCTAAAGTTCATGCTTCAATTCCTTCTTCAATTGTACCGTGGCCGTTCATTCCGTTGCCGTTCATGCCCATGCCGCCGGTGAGAGCCTGCATGGCGTCGCCGTTGCTCTGGCCGTTGGGCATGTCGTCGTCGAACTCGAGCTTCTCTTGCTGCGCAATGGCTTGTTGCGAGACGATCTCTGCGAGGCGCTTGAGGCGGGGGGTTTGCAGCCCTGTCGATTGTATTAGACGTGTGCCGATGGTGCGGTAGATGGTTGAAAGAAAATACTTACAGGAAGGCGTGTATGTCTCGAGTGCTGTTATCACTCTTGGCTCCGCGATTTCGTACGGGCCACTATCCTCCATGTCGACTGCGGTGAGGAGAAGAACGTCGCTCTTCTCCGTCACACGCGACGCGACGGCCTTCATGATCTCGCCGTTGATAGGCTGCTCGTAGTCGGCTACCAGGTACTGGTTCAGCAGCTTCTGGATCTGGTTCGGGCTCAGCATCCAGCAGATGTCCTGAATAATCTCAATGTCGTTCAAAGTAGCCTTCTTCAGCTGGAGCAACTTGGTTGCTTGCATCAGATGCTCAAGTTGCAGTGTGCCCTCTGGCATGTCATGCGACTTGCACCACTCCTCGATACGGGTGATGTTGTAATTGATCTGCAGACCACGCTTCCATGAAAGGAAGTTGCGGCGCATGAGCAAGTCGTTGAAGGCAGTGACACCCACCAACCTCAGCAACTCGGTGACACACTGTGTGATGATAGAGTCTTCCAAGTAGTAAGCCTTCATGGCCTTGTAGACGCTGTTGAGTAGGGTGAGTAGGTTGTCCATGCTGTAGGCAGGGGTGTTGCTGCCCTGAAGGAGCTTTCCTAGGAAACGGTTGCTCTCGTTGGTAACGAAGCCGGGCAGTGATTGCGACTCGATGATAGCAGGGATGATCATCTTGTGCAGCTTCTTCTTGAGCACCTTCATCCAGGTGTGGTAGATGTTGAACTCGAGACTCTCAAGATCGTGCTTGACAATCTCCAACAGTCTGTCGTACTCGTAGTTGTCGGTCTTCTGTTGCTCGTACCAGTCTTCAGCCAGGAAGACGAATGAGAGCATCTCGTGGACGTTCGACAACCAGAAGGCACCTGGGTTGATCGCGTCTTCGGCATCGTGCTGCATGACCTCTTGTTGGATCGACTGCATAACGTTTGCGAGGAAGCGCTCTGATTCCTTGACGAAACCGTTGTTCCACATCTCGGAGGTGACAAGGTTGATGAGGTAAGCTGGGAAGAGAACCTCCTTATCGGTAGGTGGGGGTGTTGTGGTGGGCGATGGGATCTTCAGGTTCTTGATCAGGCCAAGAGTGACCTCATCGTTCAGCATGTCCTCCTCAGCAAGGATGTTCTCAAGCTCAAGCTCGACGTTATCGAGCTGAGCAAACGTTGAGCCGGAGAGGTTTTGCCTGTGAATGGTGGAACCAGGAGCCATGGAGACAGGTCGCGGGTTGTATTGTTCGCTGAATCGGTTGATGTCGCGGGTGTCTGGTCCAGCACTGCGCCTCTTTGGCTTCTTCGACGAGACAAGCTTGATCAAGCTGCTGGGGGCTATGGCCGTGGAGTGACCGTTTGTCAGCTCACCAGGCATTGGGCCAGATCGCTTCATCAGTTCAACCTGCTCTTGCAGCTCGGCGAGTTGCTGGCGGAGCGACATTTTTTCGGTCTCAGTGACATTGCTCCTCCTCTTGGATTGCTCCAGGTCGTCTGTGGTCCTCTTAAGCGACGCACGGAGTTCCTTCTCTTCTTCTTGAAGATGGCGCATCTTTGCGGTGCTCTCTTCGTAGCTTGTCTGGAGCTTCTTGTACTCGTCTTCCATCTGGCTGAGCTTGGCAGCGGTGATACCAGCCTGGTTGGCTTCGGCTTGTAGCTCCTTCTGGCGGTTCTCGAGTGTACGGCTGCGCTCCTTGTACGATTTGATCTGGCTCTCGTAGTTCTCCACTTGAGACTTGAGCGACTTGTTCTGCTCCCTCATCGTACCCAAGTTCTGGGTAAGCTCGACAACCTTGTTTTCGAGCTTGTAAGAGATGTTCTTGAGATCGCGAGATTCGGCGCGGAGGACCTTGTATTCCCTGCGGGCCTTCCTTCCCCTCCAGAGCTTCTGGACAGTGATGATGTCGTTGATCTCCTTCTTGTAGGCGCGGATGTATCTTTGTTTGCGCCAGTTGCGTTGGATCATGCGAGCAGCATCTCCAAGTCTCTTATCCAGGATGTTCTTACGGAGCAAGAATCCCTTTGCGGCAGCCTCAAACTTGATAAGCGAGTTTCGGACAACAAGGAAGCGCTTGCGGTCCTTGCTACCACGCCAGACTCTCTGTATGGTGGTTGCAGCCTTGACCTGCCTGGCCTCCTCGGCTCGTTCCCTGGTCATGTAGCCCCTAGCCAATGATTGCACGTGGATGACAGCCTCGCGCATCTCGAGGTAGATACGGCGGTAGTATTTGGCTCGGAGGTTCTTCTGGATCATGACGGCGGCATCGTTGAGTCTGGCTGTACGCAAGTTCTCGAGGAACGCAAGCATACCAGCGCGGAAGAAGATCTTTGTCAAACCCATCTGGTACTTGTCGGTGCCATCGTTCTTGCCGGCACCTAGTGCCTTCTTCAAGATTGCCGTGGCCATGTTTCGGATTTCGGGCGTCCAGTCAGCGGATCTGACCAACATGTAGTAACGCAGGGCGAATTCCTCATAAGTCCATCGTGTGGGGTAACCGGCGCAGCTGATCCTGACAGTTTCGAGAACACCACAAGCGCGCAATTGGCTGAGAACCATGGGTCCATCAAATTGCCAAGCAGCCTTGGCCTCGTTGGGCTTGATACATCGGATATAGTGGACGTCGGTTGAGTTGATGGTCTGCATGAGTTCGATAAGAGACGATTTGAAGATACCACCGAGTGTTGGCTTGCGGTTGGTCGCCATCCTTCGACCAGCCGACATGGCAGTACCTGGCTTGGACGAAGCGCTGGTAGCATTCTCCTTCTCTCGGATCGACGCAGCAACATCCAAGACTTGGGTCAAGAACTTATTGCTTGCAGCCTTGAGGACCTCCATGTGTTCGTCGGGCACAGTATCTCTGTTCTTCTCGATGAAGCCATCAGATTCGTACGTGACATCGATGGCGTAATGACAGACGGTGAAGGACGACTTGCCGAACCGGGGCTTCTTGTAGAATTTGTGCTTGTCTCCGGAGTAGTTGTGGTGTAGCTTAGTAACGAATTGCTCATCCGAACCCATGGGCAAGCGCGACTCTTCGTCTAGTAGAGACAAGATACCTAGCTTGCCTTCAATAAGATCGATACAAGGCTGGTTGTCGGCGAAGTCGATGAATGTCCAGTCGATTTGTTCGCGCATGTACTCCTCCTGCTCCAGCTTGAAGACGTGAGCGTTAAACTCTTGTTGCAATTTTTCATTAGCGTAGTTGATACAGAACTGCTCGAAAGAGTTCTTTGCGAAGTGCTCGAAACCGTAGATATCAAGGACACCAATGAAGGTGTGAGCTTGCGCAATAACCTCTTCGGTGGCCAGACTCTCGTTTGTGCGTTCGACCAGCCAGTCGAACAAGCTGGAATAGATAAACTTGGCAACGGAGTCTCGGACCACGATGGCCTGCTGCTGCGTCAAGTTGGAGACAATCTTCTCTCCTCTGGTAATGAGCTGCTTCTTTACAATCCACTTGGCGAAAGTGTTGGCGTCAATTCCTAGCAGCGAACAAGCCTTGACGAGAGAAGGCTCAGCTGGGTCGAGATTTGAGTCTGTCCGAGTTGCTGTGATCTTGAT